TTGGGTAGGATTAAATATTACATATGTTATTTAAGGCTGAAAGAAAGTTAAAAATTTGCTAGGGTTTTTAAGGATTTTAAAATGGTGCAAAAAGGCAGTGGAGGCCACATGTTCTGACCTCCTCTAACCCCACAAGAGGAAGACAGAATCACCATGAATAGCCCAAGCCCTATTTCTGTAAGGCCAGACATGTTGCCTCCTTCCAGCCCTTTCACCAACCGTTCCTCCGAAAGCACCCACCACCTCTCTCCTGGGTTCAATAATTCACTGCAGTGGTCACACAGAACTCACAGATTACTGGGTTTATTAGGGAAGCACCAGGCTACAATTCAAGTTCAAGAAAAACGCTCAGTCTCTTTCCCATCCCACAGTCTCTCTCCTAACAGTCTCTCAGAGTCTCTCTCCCAACAGTAAGCATCCCTCGATGTCTCGCTCAGCAATGTGTGTCTCTTGCATCTCTTTCCCAGCAGTGTGTGTCTCTTTCAGCAGCACATCTTCCTCAGCCAGCAGCCAGAGAGAGACCTCTTCTGCCTCTAGGAGGCATCCTTTTGAGCCTGGCAGAGTGGCCAAACTAACCAATCATAACATCAGAATTCTAACCTGAGGGAGAACAGGAACATTCCAGAACATTGCTTTGTGTTGTGCCCAACCGAAATACCCCAGGAGGATAACTTTTACAATCAGGAGCTCCTCAGTTGCTCACAGCAAATTCCACTACAGAATTTACAAAGACATGGCTAGAGAAGCCATACTAGGTAATTTACCACACTGCAAATGGGTAGTGATTTTCTGAGAAGGAGTGATAGTTTTCTTGAAAGGGGTGGCACTGTGGAAATTGGGTGCACACGCAGTTGTACATCTTGCTGGGATACTTGGCATGAGACACAAAGACTGTTTGGATACTTGACATAACTTATTATGGGACGTTGCACATGCACTGTCTCTCAGCACATTGGTTCAAATCCCAGTGGGTGCCTGCCAAAGGGGGAGGGAGGCCGCATCTTCTGACTTCCTCTAACCCCACAAGAGGAAGACAGAACCACCATCAGTAGCCCAAGGCCTATTCCTGCAAGGCCAGATATGCTGCCTTCCTCCAGCCCTTTCACCAACCCTGGCACCAACCATTCCTCCTGTAGCACCCACCAACTCTCTGCTGGGTTTGATAATTTGCTGTAGTGGCCACACAGAACTCACAGATTATGGGGTTTATTAGGGAAGCATCAGACTACAATTCAAATTCAGAAATGTACTCAATCTCTTGCAGCCGGCCATCTCACTCAGCAGCCAGCAATCTCAGTAGCACATTGCTCTCTCAGTAGTGCTTGTCTCTTGCATCTCAGCAGTGTGTGTCTCTCACGTCTCTCAGGAGCACGTATCTTTCAGCAGCATATCTTTCTCAGCCAGCAGTCAGAGAGACTCCTTCTGCCTTTAGGAGGGTTCCTTTTGAGCTTGGCAGAGTGGCCAAACTAACCAATCCCATATCAGAATTCTATTCACCTGAGAGAAATAGAACTTCCCAGAAGATTGCTTCATGCTACTCTCAACAGAACTACCCCAGGTGGGTAAGTTTAATAATCAGGAGTTACTCAGTGGCTTATGGCAAATTCCATGGAGTTTACAAAAACTTATGGCTAAAAAAGCCATACTATGGGAGCTCTGGTAGCATAGTGGTTAAGACACTTGCCTGCTAACCAGACGGCTGGAGGTTCAAACCCACCAGCCACTCCTCGGAAGGAAGGTTGGGCAATCCTACTTCCGTAGTGATAACTGCCTCGGAAACCCAAGGAGGGGTCGCTATGAGTCGGGGCCGACTCGACGGCACTTAACAACAACAACAACAATGTAACTTACAAAACTGCAGTGGCTTTGCCTCAAACTGGCACCTCAGGGAGGTCATATAGCAGTCATCTCGTGATGTGCACATGCTTAGAGAGCTGAATCAAGCTGGTTGCTTGCAAAGCATATTACAAGGATTTGGTGGGTTGTTGGTTACTTCTCTATCCTATGTTCCAGGATGTGGTTTGGCCTTTAGCCCTAGCACTTAGGCTTGCAGTTTGTGTTTTTATTTAACCCTTTGCTTCCTGCCACCTTCCTCCTGTCTCAGGAGAGTGAGTCTAGTTTGGGATAAGAATGTCAAAGAACAATCAGGGGAATGGTGTCTATTTTTGTTATGCTGCTGAGATTTTTCTTCTTTTATCTATTTATTTTCCTTTACCTCATCAATCATGTCTACAGTATCTGCTTTAAATCCTTGCCTGATAACTTTAACATCTATATCATTTATTGGTTCTTTTTTTTTCTTCTTTTCCCTCTTGAATATAGGTTACTTTTCCTGGTACTTCATACATTGAGTAATTTTACTTAGTAGCTTGAATATTGTGTTCTGTTGTGGAAACTTGGATTCTCTTGCATTTCTCAAAAAATGTTGATGTTTTGTTTAGCAAGCAATTACTTTAACTCAAAATGCAAAATCTATCACTTTCAAATTTTGCAGTGATTCATAATAACTATGTATATGGGCAGAATAAATATTACAGGGGCCAACCGATGATGTTTAAATTTATACACTGAATTTGTGTTTTCGTGCATTGTCTTTCCTGGGATATCCCACTCAGTACCCAATTTTCCTGGTTACTCCAAGCATCTTTTTCTGGTTCTTCTGGCAAACCTCTTTTTGGAGTTTTAGCCACGCTGTGCTGCTGTAGTAAACAAGCCACCCTCTGATCAGAGCAGTAAAAAGCGAAACAATGCATGCCAATTGCTTCCTCTATGTTTTGACTCCACTCCAAAATCTGTCTCCTTTTATTCATTCTTAAGAGCCTTTATATAATTGTTTAGATTTTATGAAAAGTTTATAGTTGTTATCTGCAGGAAGTAGAACTTGTTAGTCACTTACTTTTCCTTACTGGCAGCAGAATTGTCAACTTCCTCTGTTCATTCTTCTATTAGTAATGTTACATTTGTTGCTAGTGCCAGCAATGAAATCTCAGTTTAAAATCCTTTTGCTAAGAAATTCATCCTTGATCTTTACCTGTGTTTTAACATCTTTTAAAGATAGTATTTTTGTTACTATTAAAGTAATACTCATGAGAATTAAGACAGCTTGCATTTATTCAGCCTTTAACTGCCAAGTTCTGTTAAATGCTTTGCATATGCTGTTTCACCATAACCAATCCTATAAAATAAATGTTAGTCACATTTTGGAAATGAGGAACTCTAACTTGCCCAACACAAGTATTATCTTTACCCATACACTAAACTAAAATTATAAAATAAAGTAGTTATATCTCTATACAATTATATACATATATATGCTTTTTTATTTAAATAGTGGTTTGTGTCCTAATTTTTCCCCTGTGTTTTTAAAATTTTGTACTTCTTGAGAAAGAAAATAGCAACAACTAACAACTAAATGCATTTCTAACCTTCTAATCTCAGATTTAAAGCTTATTATTTGAATACAGATACTCATTTCAAGAATCTTAGTAGTCTTATTAGAGTCATCATCATGTTTTGAATGTTTGAATGGAAGATACATATTGTCCATTTAAATGATTCTGGTTTACACTCATCTACTTTCATGCCACTTAAATTTACCAACCATAAGCAATAGCTTCTTTTTTCTGTACTTGAATAGACAACCCCTCATATACACGGGTATTTTAAATCTTCCTTTCCTTTCTTTAGAATACTGAAAAAACAAACCAAACCCACTGCCATTGAGTTGGATCCAACTTCTAGTGACACCTCCTTGGGTTTCTGAGAGGGTATCACTACGGAAGTAGATTGTGCACTCTTCCTTCCAAGGTGTGTTAGCAGTCAAATGCTTTAGGCACTATGCCACCAGAGCTCCTTTCTTTAGAATAGCCTGGCCAAATAGAACTTTCTGTGATGATGGAAATCCTCTATGTTTCCACTGTCTGATAAGGTAGTCACTAGTCTAGTAGCATAGTGTCCAAGGCATTTGACTGCTAACCAGAAGGCTGGAGGTTCAAACCCACCAGTCACTCCACAGAAGGAAGGTTGGGCCATCTACTTCCGTAGTGATGCTGCCTCGGAAACCCAAGGAAGGGTCGCTATGAGTCAGATGTGACTCAACAGCAGTAAGTTAGATTTACTATATACAAAATTGTGTATTCTAAACATGTATGGTCATTATGGTGGTTTCTCTTTATCTGATCTTTCTAGTACATTTAAAATTTTAAGCTCATGTTTTCCTTTTCTCCGTGGAAACTGCCCTTCAAAAAAAAAAAAAAAAACTCACTGCCTTCAGCCTTCAAGTTGATTCCGAGTCATAGCAACCCCCCTAGGGTTTTCCAGGCTGTAAATCTTTACAGAAGTACTTTCCTCCATCTTATTTCCGCAAGGCACCTGGTAGATTTGAACCACTGACTTTCTGGTTAGCAACCAAATGCCTTATCCACTACACTGCCAGAGCTCCATATAGAAACTGCCATTACAGACCGCTATTTGTTCTGGTCTCCGCTAGGCTTTTGACTGTAGGAATTTTCTGGGGAAATCATTTTTGAGCCTGTTTAGCCATTTCCTTTGAGTCCCTGGGTGGCACAAATGGTTATGTTTGACTACTAGCTGAAAGTTTGGCAGCACCTCAGACTTGGCACAGCTGGCAATCTGCTTCCACAGGGTCCCAGCCTCTAAAACCCTACGGAAGACAGTTCTACTCTGTACACATGAGGTTTTCAGGAATCTGAATCCACTTGAAAGTCGCAGCTAGCAACACACCACCACTGCCTTCCTAACCTCTGGTAGCTTTCTAAGTACTGGTAACTAACATTGACTGAATTAGGTATTAAATTACTCTCTTTTACAGAAAAAAGAAATATCTCTAAAGAAAAGTTCTCACAATTAGTTATTGTGTTGGTTTAATTGTAAACCATGAATGTGAGCATATAAAAAATTGATTGTTGGATGACTTTTTTACTTTTTGTATTCGAAACCTTTCAGTTTATTTCATGATGTTTTGATCTTTATCATTTCAGGATCACCAAACAATTTTAAGAGCATGGGCTGTGAAAGATTTTGCTCCAAATTGCCCTTTGTATGTCCAGATATTAAAGCCTGAAAATAAATTCCATATCAAATTTGTTGGTAAGTTTAGTCTCAAATGAATTTTCTCACACTCCTATTATGATTTTAAGAGTCATGTCTTAGAATTTAATGGATATTATACAGTCAGGACAATATAGAATAGAATAGAATTTCTTTGTTATCATCTATTTGTTGTAAGAAATTTTTAAAATTTAATATGTGGGAAGATAATGTTTTGGGATTGAATCTTCACTTTTTTATCTAATCTGATGAGTTTAGCAACTAAAATTACTGGATATCTAAGTAAGTCTAAATAGATTAGTAATACATTTACACATAATACTGACACAGACTTCAAATACCAGATCTTAAGTTTATACATAGACATATATTACTTCCTTATAGATTATTTAGCATATGTATATAGAAGCTTAATATGCAACAGAAAAAATGTATTAAAATGTACTCAGGTATATTTAAATAGGTTTAATTTGGGTGTAGATTTTAAAACAATTCCAGAAGATGCTGCATGTAAGTTGATTTTTTTTTTTTTCTTTCTTTCTTGCTGGAAACACTGCTTTTAAAATAATTGATCACATGAGATTATATTTTGAGCTATTAGGAAATTGGATATTAAGCTAGTACTTTATTTTGGGGAGCTCTGGTAGCATAGTGGCTAAGGCACTTGACTGCTAACCAGAAGGCTGGCGGTTCAAACCCACCAGCCACTCCTCGGAAGGAAGGTTGGGCAATCCCACTTCCGTAGTGATACTGCGTGGGAAACCCAAGGAGGGGTCGCTATGAGTCAGGGCTGACTCGACGGCACATAACAACAACAACAACAACTTTATTTTGTTCCCAAATACTTCTGTAGGAGAGAGGAACTGATTTTGATTCAGACAGTAATTTATATTATTTCTTTTAAAGCATAACAACCTTGTCATTTCTGAGGTGGTATTTTATCTTAATCATTAAAATTAAATCATCTTAGCTGTGTGTCAGCAAAAAAGTATTTCCTTCAGAAGATGTACTCTCATACTTAAAATGCTTACCTATTACAATATTATGTTTGAAAAAAAAAATAGGAAACACTGAGAAATTTTAAACTAAGGAAAAGAAAACCATGAAATTATTGCTATTTAATTTGCTATTACAGCTGCCAGCCTTCTTTCTAATGACATCATTTATTTTTTTCTCCAAAAATGTATAACAAAAACTTAAATCAATGGCTCTCTGCTCTGACTGCTTATTAGTATCTCACTGGAAGATTTTCAAAGTATTGATCCTAGAGATTCTGAGTTAAATGGTCTGAGAACAGAGCTTCATTATTTTTTTCCAAAGCTTTTTGGTTGTTCTAACATTTCCGAGTCAGGGTTGGGAAATACTACTTTAGATTTTACTTATATTTCAGTACCTTTTAAAGGGGGCCTTTTGTTTCTGGTTTTGTTAAAACATTTAACTCTAGGCTTATTTAACATGATTATGAATATTCTCAAATAAATATTTATTAAGCTCTTAAAATATGCACTACTCCTAGCTTTATGAGTACTGTGGTTGATGCAAAGTGAACCAAGCTGTCATGGTTTTTGGCCTAAAGGCACTTATCTGCTATTTCAACAAACATGATTTATAATGGCATTTGGCCTCAACTTCCTTTGGCCTTAATGTTCTCAAATCATAAATAAGGGTTGCTGTTGTTCTTAGGTGCCATCCAGTTGATTCTGACTCATAGTGACCCTATGTGACAGTAGATCTGTCCCACAAGGTTTTCTAGGGTCTGGTAGCACAGTGCCTAAGGTATCTGACTGCTAACCAGAAGGAAGCAAGACTGGGCAATCTTCTTCAATAAAGATTTACCACCTTGGAAACCCAATGGGGGTCGCTGTGAGTTGGAATCAACCCTATGTCAGTGGATTTGGGTTTTTGGTTTTAATCTGTACAGGAGCAGATAGTCAGGTCTTTTCAACCACAGAGCAGCTGGAGAATTTGAACCACTGACCTTACAGTTAGCAGCTGAGCATTAAACCATTGTGCTACCAGGCTCCTTAAGGGTGATGCTACAATTTTAGAAGAGTTTTTTTTTTTTTTAATTGCAAAAATAAGAGGAGTGAAAAAGCTAAATCTTAAAAGTTGAGTTTTGGTATTCCATCAAACCTGGATTCAACTCCCAATTTTACCGTGTTACCAGGTTGGACAACTCATTTAACATGACTAAAGCCTCTGGTAGCATAGTGCCCAAGGCACTTACATACTAACCAGAAGGCTGGTGGTTCAAACCCACCAGCCACTCCTCGGAAGGAAGGTTGGGCAATCTACTTCTGTAGTGATACTGCCTCGGCAACCCAAGGAGGGGTCACTATGAGTCGCCTCTGACTCGAGGGCACATAACAGCAACAACAAGAAGCCTCTTTTCTTCAACTGAAAATTTAAAATAACAGTACTTCCTTTGTAGACATTTTTGTGAAATTAAATGGAAATATGTATGTAAATTACTCCATCTATATCCTGTTACATATATAATTGTTGCTGTTGTTGTTATGTGCCGTTGAGTCGGACCCGATGACTCACAGTGACCCCTCCTTGGGTTTTCGAGGCAGTTAGCACTCAATAAATTCAAATATTTATCTATAAGATCATTGTACCTAAATTACTCCCTTATTTTGATTGTTTAGGAAAAGGAATTATTATTATTATTACGTTGGCAAAATTTTCATCATAACTGCCAATGATTTGTTATGAAAAATATACTTTAGGTAGATAGTGCTGCTGAGAGCACTAGACAACATCTGAAAATATGCATTTAAATTTGAGTGTCACCACTTAAGACTTCAGTAACAAATTTAGTAATCTAAACTCTAGTTTCTTTGCTTGTTAACTGCTTATAATATATATGATGCTTCATTTCCACTGGAAACAATTAACAGTGAAGACTGAATAAATATTATCTGCAATATATTAAGTGTTCAATAAATGTGTGTTGAATCTGTTTCTTAAAAAACTGTATATTGTCTGGAAAGATGGTTTGTAAGGTTGAATTTGTTATAATTAAAATTCAGAATAAGCTTTGGTTCCTTTTCTCTTCTAATGAAAACCATTGATGTGCTCCCAACAGATAAATCAAATTCATTCTAATAGTCTACTTTTTCAAACAAGGTTTACAGAAACTATTGCACTGGTTCTCTTATAAATTATTTTGTTGTCATTATTTTGATAAACACATTGGAATGGATTATTTAAAAATTCTATCCCAGTAGTTTCTCTCAACTCCTCATTTATTGCACCTGTTACAATTCCTTTTAGTAGTTGTCTGTGTTCTTTGACAACACAGACAATCCCTGAGACTACAACATCTCAGGGAAGCTCTTGTTCTATTATTAAAAGATGAAAACATCTTGGTTTCATTAAAATGTCATAAAAACAGTTTGGGATGATGTATGTGGCTTTCAAACCAATGTAATAAGTTTTATATCTCAGCATTAAATTAAAAAGGTAATAGACTTTACCTTTCAAAAGGCAGTATATCAATCTTGGTTTGTGTGGGAGGTTGTTAAAGTAATTGTCCCCAGACAAATGTTCTCACTGTCCTCCCTATAGTCTGTGTCTCATTGCAATGTGAGTTTTCAGCTTTTTCCAAGAAAAGGTGGAATCTGTTTTCATACTCCTTGAATATGGGTTGGTCATGTGTCTTGTTTTGAACAGTAAAATGTGACAAAAGTTATAATGTACAACATATGAAGCTAAGCCTAAAAGGCCACACAACTTCCTCTTTGTTTTTATTGGAACACTGCCCTGAGACTGCATTTGAAAAAACCTGTTTTCCACCTTAAAACAAGTCCACATGAAAAGTGAAGCTCATCCATCCCAAGCACCCCACTTAACTCCAGCATCCACCTTCCTTATCAGCAACCCAAAGAATCTTGTTAACACACAGAGAAGTATGAGAAATAAAATGGTGGTTGTTTTAAGTCAGTAGGTTGTGAGGTTGCATGTTAAAGAGCAGTAGCTAACTATTACTGATTTAAAAAATACATAGTTGCTATAATTTTAAACCATACTCCCTTGATAATATGCATTATATTCTGGTCCTGAGTATTAAATAAGCATGTTTGCAGTTATCACAGGATATAAAGATACCTTGTTGTTTAAATAGCCTCTGTACCTTACCCTAAATTGAGGAAATCCTATCAAGATTACAATTTATGTATTTTTCTTAAATCAAATACATGTTATTAAAAGAAACATGAAAGAAAAAGAGAAACCTCAAAATTTGATTTATATATATAGAAAATATGAGAAAGCAAAAATAAAACCACAACCCAGCATCTATTTCTTTATGCATAACTGCCATTTATATCTTTTATGGATCTCCCTCTCATGGACAAAATGACTGATGCATTATTTAAAGTAAAGCAGTAGTATCAATTATTACACTATTAATAATAATTTAAATAGTCTTTACAGATCAGATGTGTATGTTAAAAGTCTATATGGAAGTGATTTCAACAATAGAGACAGTAGGCCCTCTTCATATCACTAAGAGAGAAAAATAAAAATAGCATAGAGGTAGAAAGGAAGAATGAAATACTTGGTGAAATAAATTTTAGTAAGAGATGATTACAAATACAAATACACTATAAATTATAATGATAAATGCAAGTAACTTAAAATATACATCACAGATAACATGGTAATTTTTATTACAAAATTTCTAAGAAAAAAAAATCAAATGTTGCTTATGAAGAAGTACATTTTACTTTCATCAGATTTAGCTCTCAACAAGTAGATAAAAGATTGGCTGTTCGAAACCACCCAGAGGACCTCAGAAGACAGACCTGGAAATTTGCTTCCAAAAGGTCACAGCCTTTGGAGCCCTCTTGAGCAGTTCTGCTCTGCACACAAGGGGTCCGCATGAGTCAGAAACAACAGGGTGGCAACTAACAACAATAATCTCTTTTATGATAAATTTGTCAAAGTGCATTGGTTAAAGCTATTATCTTTGGAATGATGCATTCCTGGATCAAATTTTTGTTACATAGATTAACTACTGGAGCTTCAGGCGT